GCCCCAGCTGCTCTGTGCCCGCTGCCCAGAGGCCCTCCGCGGCCAGGGTGGAATGCTTGCCTCGTCGCTGTGGCAACAAAGCAAGCATTCCGCCAGGCTGCTCATGCTGCCCACTCTTAGCAGCCGCCCCCTGGGGCTGAGAGGATTGTGTGCCACCATCTTGTGGCTATGGGTGCTGCCATCTTTGTGATGGATAATGGCTAATTTGCATATTATCCTTTTATTAGATAGGATTCTGATTATGTTTGTGTGTGTTTGAAAATTTCCATAATAAAATTTAAAAAGAATAAGTTAACTTAATTGATCTTTAAAATGGATTGTAGAATATGGCAGGCTCTTCTGTGATTTTCCCCAAATTTAGGTCTTGTTATTTCCTTGTGAGGAGAGTTGAGTTTAGCAGAAAGGTGCATGGAGGACATGTCTTGGGCTACCTGAGACTTGTAAGGCAGACAGAGTGAGAGCAAGGGAAAGAGAGGAAGGGAGAGGAGATGAGGTGGGGAGGAGTGAGAAATAGAGTGGTGGAAATGGCTTCCAAGTCTATCTCTCTAAGCCAATTTCTGCGATATTTTCTGCCTCAGATCAAGTCACAGAAAAAGAATGTGCTCTCTGATGTCTGTTTACATATTCATGAGTGAGAAAGGGAGGAGACAAGAGTACCTAGAACAATGACCATTACATGTCAGTTATTCAGTGATGGGAAGGCCTAAATACCTTTTCCAACGTCACTCTATCTTGGGGGTGGGGGTGGTGGAATGGAAGCCTCTTCCATTTATGGAAACATGAGGAGCGGGAGATTAAGTAATTTCCCCACCCCTACACTTACAACAAAACTGAGGTGGGTCTGTTTTTAGCCCCTTTTTATGAATAAAGAAACTGAGTCTTTTAAATATATATATAATTGTTTTTTTACAGAGAGGAAGGGAGAGGGATAGAGAGTTAGAAACATCGATGAGAGAGAAACATCGATCAGCTGCCTCCTGCACACTCCCCACTGGGGATGTGTCCACAACCAAGGTACATGCCCTTGACCGGAATCGAACCTGGGACCCTTTAGTCCGCAGGCCAGCGCTCTATCCACTGAGCCACACTGGTTAGAAACTGAGTCTTAAAGAGGGCAATTAACTTTTCCAAATTTACACACTTGGAAACTGGTCAAGTTTGGTTCTTAACACATATACCTGATCCCAGAGTGTACATTCTTAAAAGAACATTATTCTATTATCTTGGAGGGAAAATGCATTGATAACCTGCTTTCTGCAGGGCATGTTGCTAGTCATTCAGGGGACACACAGCTAAGTGAGTCATAATCCATGTCCTCTGTGAGCTCTCTACCTCGTTGGGGAATAGAAGAAAGGTCTGTCAGGGAAATATGCAAATAACTAATTTACTGGAGTAAAGTACAGTGACGTGTTAGTTATCTATTACTGATTAATAAGTAGCCCTAATGTATAGTGGCTTCAAACAACAAACACTCATTATCTCACAGTTTCTGTGGGTCAGAAATTCAGGAGTGGCCTATCTTGGGGGTTCTAGCTTAGGGTATCTTGAAATCAAGATATTGGCAAGGACCGCAATCATCTGAAGACTGGAGTGGGGCTGGAAGATCCACTTCCAAGAATATTCACTCATGTGGCTGTTGGCAGAGGGCCTCACTTCCCCACGGTCCATATCCTCATGACAGAGCCACTGGCTTTCCTCAGAGCGACTAATTCAAGCGAAAGAGCCGGGAAGAAGCCACAGAGCCTTTCCTAACCCAGGCTCAGGAATTGCACACCATCACTTCCACCCTGTTCTATTCATTGGAAGCAAGTCGCTAAGCCCATTTCACACTCCAGGATAGCAAAGTTAAATTTCACTTCTTGAAGGCAAGAGTATCATATAATCTGTGGGTATACAGTATTTTAAAACCACCACATGGAGATGCAGGAAATGAAAATTAGGGGGGAAATTTTCAAAGTGGAAGTGACACTTGAATGGGCAGAATTTTAAATGGTTTACATGAGGAGGGAGAGCTGAGAAATGCAGGGGACGGCATGAACAGAGGCACAAGGGAGGAATTTAGACTCTAGAGACAAAGCTTGGTTAGTTCTATTAGGACACACATAGGCATGGAATTGGAGATGTGTCTGCAAGGTGTGTTCATAATTATAGAGGTCCTGGGATGCCAGGTTGTTTTTAATTCTGTAGGTGATGGGGATTCTTAGAAAACTTTTGAGTGGAAAGGTGATGCAATCACAATTTTGCATTAGAATGATTACTCAGATGGTGAATTTGAGGTGGATTGGAATAGACTAGAAATAGAGGAGAAGACACAAATGGGCAGATTCTTTAAATTAATGTCAAGGTTCTATTGGTGAGGGTCCAGTTGGGAAAACAGTAATCACACTAGGTATTTCAAACAGGGGGGATTTAATACAGGGGAGTTTTATAATATGTTGGAAGGCTGAAAGAGCTATAAAGGGAAGATAGGCTTGCAGGAAGGATTTTAACTCTGCCTGGTGATTTCCCCTACATCATGTGACTCTCACACAAAAGTTCTAAACCAGTGGGGTAGCAGTGAGACTACATGGTGGTAAGAGGTCACATTAAGTGCTAATGGATTTGGGAATGAATAGACATAAAAGTGAACACTTAACTTCGTTTCCATGATGAGTAAGGCACTGTTCTATATCCTCCTAACAACTGTATGAGGAAGACACTATTATTATGTCATTTGACAGACTGGGAAACTGAGTTGCAGAGGATCAAGTAACTCGTCCAAGATTACACTTACGAGCTGTCCGGGCTGGGCTTCACATATAGGCACCTCGGGTCCAGAGCTCATGCTCATTACCACTGCACATGCTGTCTTTCTGAAGAATCAAAGATGGTTCTGATTGGGAAATAGTGTTGTCAGTGGTAGCAATAGGAGAGTTAAAAGGTAGACTTTGGGGGTGGAGCATGGAAGGGAGAGGGGTTTAATGTGTTGGATTATAGACACTATCAAGTCAATAGTGGGGACCATTTAATCATCTCTTCCTAGTTTTACTTCCCCCATGCAATCTGAGACCCAGTGGCCAGGCCTTTAAATGAACCCACTTAGTCATCCCCAGTTAACCCAAGGGAGGTTGGGAAAAATAAATGTAGCTAAACAAGTGCCATTAAGCTTACTTACTACACCTGATTTTAGCCAGGTTCTCAGTCTCAGCTTTAAGATGGATGAAATTTCCAGCATGGAATGAAGAGTAAGGATGGTTTCTGAGAGTGAGGCAGGGCAGGAAAACAGAACGACTTTCCAACTCTGTCTATGGCATGTTCCCAAGAGTGTCAGTGATAGAAAATGGAATGGAAACTGCAGAAAAAGAAGGGAGCTGTAGTCACGAATATAGCTTCTTTGTTCTATGTTAAAATATCCCTCCTTTCATGAAGTAGACAACATACTACTTATAATGGCTATCTGCAGGCATTGCCATTAGATGATTGAGTTCTTAATTTATTTTTCTTTTCTTTTCTTTTCCTTGCAAGTCCCATGTGTCTGATTGTATCAGAGGTTATAGTTTAGGATTAGATTTCTGTGAGCTGTTTCATTGATTCTTGAATAAACCTGAAGAAATAGACTTATTTCTAAAATCCTAACATTATAGTTTTGTTTTGTTTTTTTTTGGAATAAAAATGGGGTAAAGGTTGGGGGAGCTTTAATGTTGATTGGCAGTTCTTTTGTTCACTACCTTCCTATCTTGGCTACAAAGTTGTAAGAACATTAGCCTTCGACTTTAGTTAAACTTTCATGATGCCCCTTCATTGATTGTCCCCTCTTCTCCGTACACACATTTCTTCTTCAGGAGTGCAGTAGTTGCTGCATGGAAGAGAATTAAGAGTGATGAAGATTTGGGGTTGAAATTAGGATCAAACAGAAGGAACATGGAAATTTATTGGGTGGCGAATGGGGCTTATTTGGTCAGAGGGATGTTAGTCTGGTTACATCACATTTCCTTTGCAAGCTTTACTGGTGCCTGATTGTTTCTGTGGATTTGGTAACCTAGCAATGGGGGTTTGGGGCATGGAGAGATTAATGAGACAAGATGGTTTTAAGATCTTCTTCCTGATTTAGTGATCACATGACTAGAATGAGAGTGGTGTAGCTCTTCATCTAAAATAGAAGAGACTGAATGGATGTCTGTGTATTAAATATATGGCACATGCATTGCTGCTACTATTCCCTTAGGTGCCAGTCGGTGAAAGCCGATCGTTAAATATTCAGGAACTCTGTGAACTGTTTATTAAACTTTTGGTAGCTTGAAATTGATTATGGTGGGAGTTTTTATACCACACAAACTGGCAAACAATGCAAGGGAGGGCTCTTTTCTTTCTTTCAAAGAGACAATTATCGGGATACCACTGTGAATGCCATACTCCAGATAGACATCACTGCTAATCAAAAAAGGTACTCTTTTCTGTTCAGCCCAGATTTGGATTCAGAATCCTTCTCAACACACACTGCTTCTGACAGAAAACACAAGTAAATAGGACTGAGTGCATGAGATGAGCAGTATTTGCCATCTTTGCTATAAACAAGCTTTTGTAATTGTCCCTGGTGTTAGCTGTTAGAATCTTACACTGGGGAAGGTTGCTTTGGGTTTGACGCTTTTGCTGCGTTTAATGATTTTTGACACAAAAAAGTCAAAGCATCTTTCATAAAGAAGTCACAATAATACCTAACTCTAGGTTGCCATGGATTAAAGCATAATCAGAAATAGGTACTATGCAACATCATTAATTTTCTTCCCTCTTTTTATGTGTATGTATCATACAAAGACCCTAATCATGCATTTGGATGTTCATTAATTAATAAACTAAATGAACATTTACTGAGTCTCTTTGTTAGTAGTCACATATTCCCATACAAAGGGTTATATGGAGAAGTCAGTTTAAAGCAGGAATAATCATATATCATTGTTCAGGACTTTTGTGGGCTAGGTAAACCAAAGACGTGGGGATGGGTGATTCTGATTTACGTTACCACAGAAGTCATGTAGTATCACTTCCGTGTCATGAGGTTGAACTCATGGCAGCTGTTTGAAGGCTTAACCGTGGCTGAAGGATCTCTAAGGTTGCTTACCCACGTGGCTAGCAAGTTAGTGCTGACCAGATGGTTCCTGTCCACAAGGACCTCTCCAAAGGATTGCTGGGGTGTCGTTGGTCATAGTGTTGGCTTCCCTTGATCAATAAGTGTAATGGTCGGTGCTGGGAATATTGAGTTCTTCATTTTGGGAAGTGAGGCAGTAGAGTAAAGAGGACTTTGCACTGTCTGTTCACTGCTCCCACAATGCTTTTCGCCCAGGTATTGCTCTCTTCATTTAAGGCTCTGATGAAGGGGAACCTCTTTGGAAAGGTCATGCCTCATGAATACCCATCACCTTCTTTTTCCTATTTTGCTTCATAACATTTACCACTGTATAATAGAATGTTACATATTTATTTTTTGTTTATTATCTTTCTCTCTCATTAGAATAAAAACTTCTTCAGAGTTTTTCCTAGTGCTTGGAATGGTGCCTGGATATTAATGCTATGTGTGAAAAGATGAATGGGGAAGAGTACTGACTCTATAGTGAGACTTGGACCTGGATTCAGGCTCTGCTATTTATTAGATCAAATTATTTAATTTCTGCACACTTAAATGTTGTCAGCTAAAAGACAGAGTTAAAAATACATACCTCTTGAAGTTATTGTGATTTTTAAATGACATAATGTATGTAATACCTAGCATTGTGTGTGCTTGCACATAGCAAGAATCTATGAAATGTTAGCTATTGCTATGACTGTTGTTATTACTATGATGATGTACTGAAGCTATATATACCTATATAAACTATGTATGCACTGCAGATATACCATGATGATATAGAGAGTGAAGGGCCGCTGGGCAGACAGCGAAGTCATTGGTATGGATCAGTGATTGGGCTAATCAGAGCCTTTCTTATGCTAAGCTCCTGTGATATCTCACCTTTTAGTTCTGTTTTCTTTCTTTCTTTCTTGAAGGTCTTGAACAGACTCAAGAGTAAATATGGCTCCCTGTACAGAAGAGACAATGTGATCCTGAGCGGCACTCACACGCACTCGGGTCCAGCAGGATATTTCCAGTACACCGTGTTTGTCATTGCCAGCGAAGGATTTAGCAATCGAACTTTTAATTACATGGTCACTGGCATCATGAAGGTAGGCAGCTGTTCTTTCCCACTGCTCAGTGTCTTAGGAGTGTGCTATGGAGACAGTCCCTATAGAATCTTCGTCTGAGCACAGTCCCCCCTTCCCTCTTCATGACCCCCTGGTAACTCTGGTCCTGAGCTCTGGGCTGGTAGCCTGAGGCACTTATTGGGAGAGGAGGACTCTATGGCAGTAACTTCACACAGTCACCTCAAGAGACAGAAAACAATTTGTATGTGACCATTACAAATTATAGGGCCCCACATGGTCTGTTCTTGCGCAAAGTCACACAAAAAGACACCAACCCATCAAGGAACCAACATTACAAATAATTCCAATCTTTCCTTGTGTTTCCAAACATTTCCTTGTATTTCTCGAAGAGCCCAAAAGGAGATCTAATTGGTAAATTTCTCAAGTCCTCTACAACAGCTTTAGACTGATATGGTGCTCCTACCAGTACCCCCAACTTTTCTCCCACTCATAGTTTGGGTACATTTTGGTACTCCTCTCTCTCCTGTCTTCCAGTTTATTATTTTATTGCACAGGATCCTTGATAATCTTTTCTTCTTCATTCCTTTGCCTTTCAGGCGTAGTCTCTCTCTACTTTATCTTGTAAAGTCACCCCTCCATACCCCCAAATCCAGGGACCCAGTTGGCAAAAGCAGACATTTCTTTGCAACACTGTTTTTCAAATGGTGGCTAGCAACCTATAAATGGTTTTATGAAATCAATTTCATGGGTTGCAATAAACATAAAAAATAAAACAAATAAAAAAATTGGAGAACACCATAGTACATCATACACATCGTGAACTTTATTTTAGAATATATATGCTGATACGTATTAAGTTATGATGGAAACTGTATTGCTTACTGTGCTTCTCAAAGTTTGAAAAACTCTGTCTGAGAAGGTGGTGGGCTAGGGAGGGTGGAAAAACCTACATGTTGTAGGAGTCGAGTCTCCCATTTGGGCATCTGAACTGGCAGACGTGCTGACTCACCAGCGGTGCTGATGGGCACTGTGCTTCTCCACACGGAGCACTCTTGCTCTCTCAACCCTGAAGGCCAGTCTGTTTACTTCCAAAGGACACCAGCCATGTGGTTCTCCAGCTTTCATCTATAAGTGGGAACAGGTTGGAGACCAAGGAAACAATCCACAGGTCTCTTCTGTTTATATCGACGAAATCATTATCCCCAATAGGATTTCTAACTTGACAGCTCTCTTTTTTTCAAAACCCACAGAGCATTGAGATAGCACACAAAAATATGAAACCAGGAAAGATCTTTATGAATAAAGGAAATGTGGATGGCACACAGATCAACCGAAGCCCCTATTCTTACCTTCAAAATCCACTGGCAGAGAGATTAAGGTGAGGAGGGTAATTATCACAGTGAAATCATGTGTTTCCTTTAGGAGAGAGAGACAGAATCTAAAACAGGGTTGTTTACTTGATGAATATGATGGGATCCTAAGAAAGTATCAGAGCTAAAATAATTTAAAAACATGTTGATAATCTAAGACAAGCAGAAATAAAAAGTAAACATTGAAAACACATAGCAACCTGTCTTCCTACTTTGAGGGCTGTGAGACTCAGTGTGAATATTTGAAGGACTCCTGCCTGTGGAATCTGACATAACTGTGGTTTCATCTTAGCTTTGTCACTCCTAGCTGGGTGACCTTTACGATATATGATGATGATGATAGGTGGTTTACTTATCTTTATTTATTGGCTCACAGTTTCTTGGTTTGTTAAATGGAGATAAAAATGTGCATAACAAGTATTTGTTAAATTAATGAGTAGCTCTTTTTATTGTGTTATTCAGAAGAAATCATCTTAGTCCAAGAGACCGTGGCAGGAGAAAGGAGATAACTGAGTAAAAATACTGAAAGAACAAGAAATAAAATGAGAATAATTGAATGGAACAATTAAGGGAGATGATTAGTTTTTTTAAGTGATGAGTCAGGTTTGCAACAAAGAGGGTACTTGGCTACTATGGCAATGTAAAATAATATCTCAGTCAATTTGACCACTTGACATTTTACATTTGTCTGCAATAGACAAAGAGTGAAAGGACCTAAAAACATTTTAAGTCACAGGTCCTGAACACTTTTGATTTTGCATATTTCCTGCTAATGGAATCTGAGTAGAAATTTCAAAGAGAAATCCTTTTTGAAAGAAATACATGTTATATAATAGTGCGTATATTACATAAACATGTATATTTCACCTCCAGCGAGCCAACCTGTTGCCCCTAGCTCTGGTCACAGTTGCAAGCCATTTCTTCAGCTGAGGACTGAGGTCCTGGGTGCAGGCCCCAAACTACTGCATGTCCAGGAGCCTTGCTTCCTGAGAGGCATGTTGGTTTTTGTTTCTGTGCCAGCTTCTGCTGTTTGTCAGACATGGTGCCCAGGTTCTAACACAAAACTGACTACATTTCTTTGTCTTGGTGACTAGGTATTCTTCGGATACAGACAAGGAAATGCTAGTCTTGAAAATGGTAGATTTGAATGGAGAAGACTTGGGCCTTATCAGGTACTCTGTTTACTTTTTTTTTTTTTTTTCTGTGTGAATAACTTTCCTTAATTACAAGGATGGGGTGGGGAAGAGACTGGAATAGTGGAAGCAGGGCCCGAGAGTAAGTTGAATGGTTAAGAATTCAGACTCACGAATCAGACACATCTGAGGTGCAGCCGTGGGCCCTGTGGCAAGGTTCTCAACCTCTCACCTGCCACACAGGGCTAATAAAAGATGATATAAACGTTGGATCTGGGCAAAGAAGTTCAGCACAGCATCTGGCATTTGACATAAAGACTCAGCAAATGTGAGTGCTTATGGCTATATCAAGATCTTATATGGGGACACCTGTAATACCATCAACAATAAAAAATATATTTAAATAAAAAAAATAAAAGATCTTATATGTGAAACTTCTATGATGGTAGACAATTATCTCTTCGTAAATGAAAAAAACAATCTGACCAACTAGGAAAATGAATATGGATTTGAGGTTATTTACCTGTTTTCCTGAAAGGATCAAGGGAAGTCTAGTGTAGGGCAATGCTAATTAGTGATGAAAGCAGAACTGAGACCACCCAAAGCAGTGGTTCTCAACCTTGGCTGCACATTAGAATCACCTGGGAATCTTTTTAAAATCCTGATTTCTGGGCCTCATCCTCTGGAAATTCTGTTTCTTTGTTACTAATGTTGTGGCCCCACTTAGTAACAAAGAAACAGAATTTCTGGAGGATGGGGCCCAGAAATCAGGATTTTAAAAAGATTCCCAGGTGATTCTAATGTGCAGCCAAGGTTGAGAACCACTGACCTAAAGGAAGCAGATGATGTGGAAGTACAGCTTGGCACCGATTGATTTTAGCACCTTTTTTATAAACAAGGAAATATGGGGATTTTTTCTTGAAAAATAAGGCACTTACATTCATAGGTGATTTTGCTCACAGCCATTGGAATGACTCAGGCTGGGTAACAGTGCAGACACCTTGACGTGTAGACTTCCAAATGACGCAGAAATGCCCTAAGAAAGTGTATGCTTGCACTCGGGTTCGCTCTGGGCTCTCATCCCTCTTAGCTCTGTTACTTAGGCCAAGTTATGTGACTGCTCTGTGTCTCAGTTTTCTTATGTGTAAAATTGAGGAATAAAGGAAATCCTTAAAAATGTTGATAATAAGTGTTAGTAAAGGTGGTGAAGTTCTGCCAGGTAGAATTATGAAATATTTAAGTGAAAGGTTCTATGTGAGTAAAATGAACAGTAAATTAAAAGTAAGAAGGGGTGAAGATAAACGTTAAAGACTATGACCCACAGTCATAGTTGGTAGAGAATAGCATGGTAAAGAGTTCAGGTTTTAGGTGTAGGCTTTAAGACTTGGGTTCAAATCCCCACCCTGCCACTTATTAACCCTGTGGCTTGGGGAAAGTAACTCCATTACTTACACCTCAACTATTCTATTTGAAAATGGGAATAATAATAACTCACAGGTTGTGTGATGATTAAATGAGATAATGCACGCAAAGCTCTAGTTTTGTGCCTGACACAGACAAAAGTTCAATAATTTTAGCTAAGAGATAAGAAATAGAATAATATTCTACCTCTTCTAAAAACTCCATTATTGGCATATCAGAGTGCTTAAAATTCTTAGCATTGGAGTTATTTCTTTGGGTTTAAAGTGAGGACACTAAAAACTCCCTGATAAGATAAACTTTATTATATGGGTTGACGTAATAGGACTCATCTCTTATAATAAATTTATCTACTGATTAGTTGCTACCTAGCATTTAACTCAATAGACTTTCTAAATGTCAGGTATACTTGGCATATGTGATGATGAATAAGTCATAGTCCCCATCTTCAAGGGTCTTGTAGGCTAGTTGGGTGATTGTGACCTGAAGCAGAAATAACCTTCCATTGTTTTTATAACCTTTTTTGTTATCTTTGATGTAATTGCTCCTCCAGTTGCCTCTTGTTGAATAGTGAAAGTTGCTCTTTGAACACATTGAAAATGATCCAAAAGAGAGTCAAATTTGGGTGCCAAGGAACTCAGCCAGCACATGTAGGTGCCTGATGTTAGAATCCAAAGTACAAGAAATTTGGAAGCATAGAACCTCAGGTTTTCAGAAAACAGAGGTAATCTAGTTCAAAATTCAGCTAAGTCCTAGAAAGGTGACATGGCCTGCCAGTGCCACAGCCGAGTCTCTTCTTCACACTGAAAACAATGTTGAAGTTCATCATTTATTCCTTGCTACTTTCATTTTTGTTTCTATTTCTTTGTTCAACAAGTTTGCCCTAGGCACCTGCTGTGTGCCATGCAACACTTCCCAGTCCTTGGAATAATGCATTTTCTGGTCTTGAAATCAGAAATCAGACTTTCTATTTCTTTGTTCAACAAGTTTGCCCTAGGCACCCGCTGTGTGCCATGCAACACTTTCCAGTCCTTGGAATAACCTGGTCTTGAAATCAGAAATCAGATACCTCAGAATCACCTTGGAATCAAATACCTGTATTCTGTGCCCTTTGAGCAAATCCCCTAAACTCTGTGAGACTCAGTTTCTACACTTATCAAATGTAGATTTAGCATCTTCTCTCTACATAGAGACTATTCATGTGCTGTGTGCCATGCAACACTTTCCAGTCCTTGGAATAACCTGGTCTTGAAATCAGAAATCAGATACCTCAGAATCACCTTGGAATCAAATACCTGTATTCTGTGCCCTTTGAGCAAATCCCCTAAACTCTGTGAGACTCAGTTTCTACACTTATCAAATGTAGATTTAGCATCTTCTCTCTACATAGAGACTGTCCATGTATTCATTCATTCATTCAATATTGTGGAATATATGTGTCATTAGCTGAGCTTCTATTATAGATACACTGATGAGCAAAAATTGATATAGTTGCTACCTTTACAGGACTTACAGTCTACTGGTAGAGACAAAAGGTATTCAAATAGTCATACAAATACATATATAATGATAATTGGGTTAAGTGCTAAGAAAGGAAGGCTTGTAGAGCTACCTTAAAGAGATTTGACATGGTCAGGGAGACTGGGAAAGGCGGCCCTGAGGAAGTGACGATAGAGCTGAAAACTGAAGGAAGGGGAGGAATTAACCAGCAAAACTGGGAGTGGAAAAGGACTTTTAACACAGATGGACAAGCATGTGCAAAAGTCCTTTTTGAGGCCCATTTGAGGAACTGATAAAAGGTCTGTGTGGCTAAAGTGCAAAGGATATTGTGAGATAAAGTTAGAGGTAGAGATTAGATACCAGGATAAAGATTTTGGAAAATCATTAAAGTGTTTTAAGCTGGGGTTGGGAGTTGAGAGGTCTTGAAAGGTTAGGAAGAGTGATGATGGCTTGAAGGAAGAAATAGGATTATGTGCATGAAACTATTCTATACTGTTAAGTCCTCTACAAATACTAGACCACTATTTGCTCCAATTGATCTAAAGGAAATATTTTTGCCTGATACTGCCTTATGCAAAAGCAGTCAATGATTGTTCTCCGGCTGTGGAGAACATGTTTGGAATGTTTTGAATTCTGAGTTAAAAGGTGAGCTGTGTGGCATTTATAAAATTCACTTTGAGAGCATTTGGCATGACATGGCTTCTCTTTGTCGGAACTGTAAGGAAGGTCTGAGTAGGTGTTTGAGTAATTGCTCCATTGCCTTCTGCTTTATACACTGAAACTCCTCTCATTTTCACAGAAAGGGTCATTTAAAGGGGCCCTTTAAAGGCACATTTTAAAAAACAACAGGGACAGTGATTTGTGTAACCTACTTGAATAATTTTTGTACCCCTTAGAAAAATCTAACTTATGAAATTACACTAATTTGTTTGAATGAGAGTGGCTTATAGGCCTCAGTCATGGTGTGTGTGTGTCGTGATTTGTGTAACCTACTTGAATAATTTTTGTACCCCCTTAGAAAAATCCAATTTATGAAATTACACTAATTTGCTTGAATGAGAGTGGCTTATAGACCTCAGTCATGGTGTGTGTGTGTAAATCTTCTCTACCGTCCAAGACTATGACTTCTCAAATGATAATGTCCCACTGTCTATTCCCTATGGCTCTCTATTCTACCCTTATTATGCCTCAGTGTACTTAACCCCGCTCGGAGAGCAAACGGGGAAACTTCAGTGACTGCCTTTCACTAACCATTCTTGACCTCTTCTCTTTTCTCCATCTCATCTTGTCTTTAAACCTTCTCCATTACCATTAGCTGGTTTGTGAATCCCTGGTCTCTCGTCACATCATTCACTGAATTTCTCTTTCCTGTTCTGCCCCTTCTACACTGTTGTGAAATTTGCTGCTGTCTTCCTGCTCCACCTTTCCTATCAGTCCGTCTGTCTTGTTCTCTCCAGGAGAGCATACAGAGGCCCTGGCTGTGAGCTTTCATTCGATGTCTGAGCTATCAACCTACAAAGTGAAGGTGCTTAGTAAGGGCTCATTGATAACAAGAGCTGACTGATAACAGAGAAATCATGCTTGTTAATTAGTCCCAAGTTGAGAAACCAGAGCCATAAAAACCAGCTGTCATAACTAGTAAAAGACGCTGGACTTACTTGATTGTTGGATCTCTGGAAAATTCTTAATACTAAGAGATTTAGAAAGTTGTTATTTTTTTTTTCTTCAAGTTTTTCCACTGGTATAAAAATAATATGTACTCAGCAGTGAAAACTTGAAAAATATAGGAAAGTAGAGAGAAAAATTAACTCAGTTATCCTTCATCAAGTCAACCATAGTTAATATTCAGGTACATTTTCTTCTGCCCTGTCCCTACATGGAACATATTATAAGGAGTCAGCATGACTGAAAGGTCAATCTGTACACGTAGGTGCTTACTTGGTTTCTCTCACTCTGAGCACTAGAAGCTTTAAAATACTGTGAAAATTATTAATGATATTATCTCCGTGTACTAAGACTATCAAGTGGGTTTTTTTATGTAGTGACTCTATATATATAAATGAGTTTTTTGGTCTCAAAGTCTATGTACTTATGTTAATTAGCTAACTTATTTCTCTCTG